CATTAGCACTTAGTGTTTGTGCAATGCGCACTTGGGTGCTGTCTAGCATATTATCTCGGCGTTGTATAAAAAATGAATATGATAGCAATTTGTATTTATACATACGTTTCGTCTTCACGGATATTTATAGCAAAATTTAAATTGAAACCTGTTTATATAGACCTAACATAAATTTTAAAATCATATGCATACCATGATATGTAATTTAATACGGCCATGGGCGTCCGCGTTTTTTTAAACTCTAACTTACGTCCGCGACTTAGTCCGCGTGGAATTAAAAAAAAAACAAAAGTGAGTAGCCTGTGTTCTATCCTCTACATCTATGCCGTATTTCATAGAGATCCGTTCAGCACTTTAGACCATAAACTGTAACAAACATCCATCCATCTAAAGTTTCGCATTCTTAATATTAACAAGATGTAAGATTCAACTTTCTAGTTACGCTCAGTTTTGACATTTTAATTGAACAGCCTAAATGTTCAGCTAAAATTGTGCCTGTGTAGGCAACTGTCAGAACTAAGCATAAAAACCGTGTAAAAAAATCAAATTTAATAATGAATATAAAAAACAAAAACGCCATTTATTGTTTTAATTTAATTTTCTCAGTGGCCAGTGCGAGTTTGCGTATATTGCAGAGGCAACCTGCAGATGCTTCCTGCAGAATCGGATCTTTGGAGCCAATCGTTTCTAACAGAAACTGCACTACGCCAGCCTGTAAAAATGTAATCCAAAATTAGTATAAACAAAAACCACCTAAATAAGATGAATATAAAACTAATCGTTAACAAAATCGATTTCGACGATAAGGTTATGCATTCATTAAATTTTAAAATCGACAAGTAAAAAAGCTATTTACAATGTGCCAGTACTAAATATGTTCTGGAACATTCTATACACAATGTTGTGTTAACAAACGTCAACGTCAATAAACGTCAACGAAATAGATTGTTTTATAAAACTTTTAACATTAGTGTTAAGACATTATAAGCAAAGGCATCTTTATAAAAACCTATTAAAGGTTAAAATGACGAGCTAAAAATACTTTTATTCACAAAAGATTTAATGTAATATGCTTGTTGATTACCATCTTTTATTTGTTTCGCTTGTGCGATAATCGCTTTATGCTAATACCATTGTTTTTCATTGCATATCAGCGTGGATATGATAAAATACAATAACCAAGTTGTTAAGGGCATTTCTAGTATTTATTAAGGCCAGCGTTAAGGTAGGGCATGATGCTGACCGCCCAGGGAGAAGCAGAAGGGGGCGTAATAAATCCACGAATCACACATACTGACATAGGCCCTGTTCGCACTCTCCCTCTAAAAGTGGTAAAACCGAACTGCTTAGGACCCCAGATCAAAAACATATTACTTAACAATTAATTCAAATATTTCAATAAATATTACTATTACTATTACCCACGACAACAGCCATTAATATCGTTATAAAATAATTGCAATACACCATTACGTGCAATAAAAGTTTTACTGCATATTTAATTACTTTAGCAACAAACTAGTTAAAACAAATGACGAGACAACTGTGGCCAGTTCCACTGTAGTCTGTGAAACGGGGACAGATAAGAATAAAAGGTTCATCCGTGCCACCTTTTGCGACGAAGGGACGGTTGGAACTTAGTTAATTTCATTACGGTTCCATCTGTCATCTTATTGTTGATAAAAGGTGAGACGGATGAAACTTTATATCCTCACGTGGGGACAGGGCAGGGTGACGATTGGGAATAACCTGTTAAACGTCCCTTATTCATTTGACTAGAAAGCAGTTTTACCAACAAAACCCGCTGTTACACGCAGAAACTAGACAAGACCTTATCAGCTAAGCAAAACTTACTGCGTGCATGGTGACACAATTAATAGAGTAGAAGGAGAGATGGTATAGAGCAAGCGCAGTGGCTCGATGAACGTTGGGGTCGCGTGACGTCATGTAGTTGACTAGGGGGGTGATGGCACCGCGCTTGCCGAACTCCTGCCTGTTCTGCGCCCAGTCGCAGCAGTACGCGATAGCCACGCCAAGGTTAGCGCGCAGGTGTTCATCTGTGGTACTCACTGAAAGCATAAATAGTAAAAAAATCGTGATTAACGGAAAAAGGCTCTAAGCAAAGTTAAGCTACTAGAGTCGCCAGTTGTGGTAATAGAAAGTAAGTAATTCGCTGCGTGTCATACTTCGATTTATTTTTAACATTGTTTATTTTTAAATTTGGTAGCAACATCACAAACTTTAGCAACAGTCATTGTCCACAAGTACCTCGAAGGCCAACAATGATTGTGTAACGGTTAAAGTAAATAAATTTTGAAGTCACGGCCAACGCAAGAGATGTCCGCTGAACGAAATACAAGTTCCGTTAACCTCACTACGTTTGTACGCACTATCATCGTTTTGTCATATTCAAAAGTTATCGAAAACTTTCGTTTAAAACTTTCACGTTGTCGCAATTCAACTCGATCAATGTTTATGCAACTTTTACAATAAAATTGTTTCTAAATTACACTATGGCCACAATTATTGGCCATTACGTAAACATTTATTTTATCTTTAGAAAGTGACAAGTTACATATTTCATTGTGGTAAAGGTATATACGTAGAATCGAAATCACCGCCCATAGTTTAAATACCCTATTGAAGTAGAAAAGAGAATATGACTTGAAGATCTTGATACGACGTACCGAAACGCTTAATTCGAGGACCAACAAAATTGTACATACCTAATTTAGATAGTTTAGCCACGACACCATGATCGGAGATCACAGCTAGATTTTCATTGTCTTTAGCGATAGTAGCGATTGCAGCACACACAGCGGATAAAACATTATGGTCATCAGAGTCCAGTAGATCAACAGTCAGCTCTAAAGCACCCACAAAAGACCGGACCATCTCACCAGAATCAGGAGCGTTCTGCACACATGGACTTAATGCTAAAGCTGCATTTGTCTGCACCTTCTTAGAGTCGTTCTTCAGCAAAGACCAGATCAATCTGACTCCATCCAGTTCGTCTATTTGCATCATACAATTATGTTCCTTTGCACATTCCATTAAAACCAACGGTACGTTCTCCAACAACGGTTTATAAGTATTGTTCAGATGATGTACTGTAAAGAGAAGGACATTAGACGATTATTTTAGTAAGTTGTAAAATGTATTGTTCTTTGGATCATACTTAACATTGGGATGCCGCCAGAAGCACGTATCTTCTCTCGATTTGGAGGGTATTTAGCGCATTCGGCTAACGCTCCAGCGACATTGGTCAGGACACCATCATTTTCGTCATCGAGCAGTCGAACTAATATCGGAACTGCACCGAGGAAGTCTAGCTTTTTAACACTAGCATCACTGTTGGCACATTTCCATAGTGCTCCGGTTACCGCAGCCATTAAAGGCTTGTTTGCTCTATTAGAGGTATCTTTAGCAGCATCTATTAGAAGTTCTAATCCTCCAGCTTCTCTTATCATGTCTCTAGTAATTGGATCACTCGCACATTTGTATATGGCCAAACTACAATAAGTCTGCAATAGAAAAAAATACAATTTGGTTTATGAATGAACCATGAAACATATTACTGGATAACATACCTTTAGGTCTTTATCTTCGTTTGCCAAATGTGTGATCAAGTCATTGACCATTTTCTCTGTCTGTATCGCCAACTGGAAGGAGGTTTCGTTGGCACACATTTGTAGAAGACCGACTGCGGGCACGGCGACGTCCAGATGTACCGTCTTAAGCAAACGAGCTATTAAAGGAACCATGCCATATTTTCTCATAGCTTCACGGTTTCTCTGCGATGCTGACATTGACCATAATGCTTTTGCACCAGCTCGGGCGATATCGAGATATTGAATCTCCTCTAGACTTAACTCTTCCCGTGGCGACACCAGATATCTAAGTAAAATAAAATACAAATAAGTATTGTTATATAAAGTTAATTTAAAATTTCATTTTTATATTTACAAATCTTACCTTTCTTTAATATCTAGTAAATCGATTAATTTAGGCAACCCACCAAACTTCCTACAAAATTTCCTTGTTTTACGAATACGTCCTAAATTTGCAATAGTCTCAGCTGATAGTATTTGTACGTCCTTTGCGGGATCTGACAGTAATCCGACCAATAAAGGAATAGCTCCTAAGTCTGTAACCTTTTTTCTTATTTCAATGTTCGGTGAGATATCTTTGAGAACTGCCAAGCTTCCAAGAATACAGCAAAGGTCTCTTGTTTCTAATAAATTAACAAGTAATTCCAATCCGCCGATTTCTTGTATAGCCCTTTGGTTAACTTCAATCGTCAAATCGTGATCTTTCAGACATGATAGTGCGACCATTGTAGCCGTTTGATTTCCTGCCTTCATGTACTTGACAAGCTTTTGTATATGCCAGTATTCTGGTGGTATCTCTGAAGACTTAATCAGATCCGCCCAGTTGTCCTCAGATGGTGTGGTCGAGGATGCCGAGGAGGCTGATGTGTCAGATCCCTCTGTCACCATCACGATCCTTGGCAGGCCGACCGCATCCTGCCCTCCTTCCATACTGAACGCCGAAACGTTATCGCCTTCCGCCATGATTTATCTAATAACTAATTTCACAAATAAATAACTTGATTAAATAAAATATTCTAAAAGCCCGATGTGGACATTGAAGTTTCAGTATTTTATTGACTAGTGATGTCAATACCGTTGCTAGGCAACACTGCACGCTCGATGAAAAAAACAACAAAATAACTGTGCATGTAGTTCGTATGACTCTGAGATAACAACACGCCTATAACACAAAGGTGTTGAGTGGGAATATTGTATTGTATTTTACAAGATTAATAAGGGATTTAAAAAATACTTCATACGTTTGAGGAAGCATAATTGTTGGCATGTTAAAATATTAATTTACATAATCGAGCAACGTAATTGAGAATTATGTGCAGTAAACTATGTTTCTCGGACATTGTTCTTTGTAATAATTAACGGGTAATTAACTCTTGTGTTTTGTTTCAGTTTCGTCGAAGCGTTCGAGATGTTCTGAAGCCGGAACACAATGACCACTACCTTCTCAGATGGCTCCGTGGTAATTATCATTATGAAAATACTTTCAGCTCCACAGTTGAGAACGTTTATTTTCTACCTATTAGATGAAATGACGCCCACTTTGCAATCTGTGCTAATATTATAGAGGAAAGATTTGTGTTTTTGTATACATTGAAATAACTCGAAAATTACTTCTGCCTATTTCAAAAATGATATCACCATTGAAAAGTTAAGTTATCAGTGAGTAACTTAAGCTATATTTTTTATTTCTTTTAATTTCACGCGCCGAAGTAGCGAGCAACAACTAGTACGTGTAAAATTACAGCAAAGCGGATTTATATCCTAAATAAAGATGAGCTTCATGGACTTGAAATAAGATTTATTTTATTGGATGTTTGATCCTTTTATTAAGGATTTAATTCTTAGACTATACATAACAACGAAATTAGTGGAATTTTCTAAGGAGCTTATGCATTTTAAGACTCAAGAAGTTTAAAATAAAAAAAAGATAATTATCTCAGATTACTTTTAGTTCGACAGAGGTAGTGTTTTTTGCAGGTTTACAAATACGTTTTGTATGTAATTTTGACCGCGGGATCTAAATTTAGCATCCGATAACTTTTTGTTTATTACCTTTATGATTACAACCGATGAGTGGAAAACCTGTAATCAATATTACTCTGAGTGAAGTCGAGGGTTATCGTAATCACGAATCTTTTTCCTCGTAATAAATGGGGTTTTAAATAAAAAATATGTGGTTAAACAGGTTTTAATAAAATTTGTTAATGACACTATTAAGCCTTTAAAATACCGGCACGAAAAAATGTATTAGTTAAACCCCTTTTTCACTACTGCTTATGGAGCCACGCACTTTTTCCTTGACCATTTCCACTGACTACATCAAGTCGCTTTGCATTTTATATCTTACTAGCTTTCGTCTGCGATTCCGTCCGCGCAGAATTAAAAAAAAAATAAGTACCTTGTGTTCTTTCATATTAAGTTCTACATCTGTGTCAAATTTTATCGAAATTCGTTCATCAGCTTTGGCTATAAACGCTAACAAACATCCATCCATTTATACTTTCGAATTAATGATATTAGTTAGAAGTAGTATGTAATTATATCAAAGCTTAAATACATTTTTTAGGTATTCATTATATTAATGAATTACGTATCGATATTAAAAAATGAGATTTTTGGAATAAAAAAATTATATTATATTTAAAACACATCCCGAATCAGTCAAGGTTAAAAAAATAACAAAAAGTTAACATTGCTGTTTGTATTATAACCTTACGACAATTTTACGTCATTTATGTTTACCTTATAATTAAGCATAACGATAATTTGACGATATAAAAAATCAAGTGTTAACAAAAGGCTACACAAATACATTCCTAATTTTTTTTTTAAATAATTACTCTTAATTACTAAGCCACGATCAGAAGCATGTAGATTAACATTTAAATAAACGCAGCCCTGACACGACCACCTTCATATTGAATTCGCGCATATGTTTGTTTCAATAGGCATAAAAACATAAATAAACAAAACCTCGAACAGATTTATGTTAACTTCAACGTAACTCATTACTGTCAAAGAAGGTCATAAGATCATTATTACATTTCACAATTTAGAAAGGATCATGAAAGCCTTGAATTGCATTTTGAGAAAGGTAAAAATAACAACATGCCGATAAAAATTGCAATAATTACGCGTTACGCAACTTCCCAAATGTAAGTAAACATATTAAAAAAAAATATTACTCCAATCGACATAACGAGTCGTACAAAATTAATATTACCAAATTATAAAAACGATAATCCGTTCCACAAAAACAAAACACTGTTCTCGCAATACTTATTGCTTTTTTTGTATTGTTGCAGCTCGACAATGGAACCCGGAAGCTGCTGAGAAAATGTTACGAGATGTAAGTGATCTTCAACAACGTTACCCATAATATATTTTCCTTATATCGTGAACTCAATTTGTATAAATCAGTATATTATACGTTGTTTGTTAAGATTTTCAAAGACGAAGTACTTTGCCGTCTGATTGTTTTTAACTATAAATCTAAGCATACATTTCCATTTAGCTGCTAGCCAATTGACTCTGGAAATTTGCGGTATGAAGTCACATTTCCACTGACACGGCCAGTTTTGTCGGTAGCCGATAAAGCCTTTAAAGTATAGTATCATACTATTTCCCCAGTCTCTAATTTGGCGTGAGAAATGGGGCATTGATACCACACTAGACACATGGAAAGCGCCTGAAGCTCTCGAAAAACACTTCCCCAGCGGCACTACGGGCTTCGACAAAGAAGGATCACCTGGTAATTTAATTCTTAACTATTATTCTTTAAAACAGTGATAATTATCGTAATAAAATGTGTTCCGTGCAGAAAATATAGCTGAAGGAAATGTTTGGCATTGTGTTTTAACATTTTGTTAAGGGTGATTCACACATTATTTATACTATTTATCTGTGAATCTAAGTATGGTATGAAATCTCTTTTGAATTATTTTATGAGAACACTCTAATTTGAATTTTTTAGTAATAATTGTCCCATTTGTGGGCCTGGACGTGTGGGGCTTGCTGCACTCTGTATCCAGAACTGACGTCATCCGCATGATCCTGCGACACCTCGAGAACTATCTCGCTAGTGCTAGGAAACAATCGCTCGTACACGGACCTGACGCACTCAAGGTGCGTAGTTTTGGCGAAGAACACGATCCAAAAACAACTTGTTATCTCAGTTTCATCAAGAAGAGTGAAGGGAACAGCAATATATATTTGTAAATCTGTTCCATTTGTGGAATCCAACGGAAATTTATGGCATACACAAGCAATAGTTAATTAATTTTAAAAATTAATTAGATTACTCCAATGATTGGAAATAAATATGAATCTAAATATTCGAAATAGGTTGAGTAGTTTAGTCTAATTTAGTTTTAAAAATGTATCGCACATTTTTGATTTAAAACAGTAATAGTTCTATAAAAATTAACATTCTTATTGTATAATGAAGACCTTTATATATTTTAATTGTACGCGACCTTTCTAGTTTACATTTCGTTATACAAAACAATTTATTTTTGTCATCAGGTCACAGTACTATTCGACCTGGAAGGGTTCAACATCCGTCAGTACGCGTGGAAACCTGCCGCAGAGATGGTGTTCACACTTCTACAAATATATGAAGCTAATTATCCGGAAATTTTGAAAACCTGCTTCATAGTTAACGGTTAGTAAGTTATACTCGACCTGAACTTTGTAAAATTTGGTTTTGTTCCGTAAGCCTAAGTATTTTGCTGAAGCTAAACATTTGCTAGAGTGAATTAATAAAACATTTTTAGTGTTAGGATTGGAACAATGTAAAGCAGTTATTACCAAGTTTTAGAACTTCGTTTAGGCTTTTTGTATTTAACTAATTTTCGTAGAATCAGTGTGAAATTAAAAAACTAAGCTATGTATCCTATATGTTCTTTCAGATTTCGCTATACATCTATGCCAAATTTCATCGAAATCCAGCAATGCTACTAACTCTAACAAACATCCATCTATACTTTCGCATTTATAATAGTAAGATTGCTTTCTTTCCAGCTCCGAAGGTATTCTCGCTGGCGTTCTCAGTGATAAAGAAGTTCATGCACGAGTACACGATATCCAAGATCCAGATCTACGGCACGGAGGCGCGGCGCTGGCAGGCGGCCGTGCTGGCGGCGGTGGACGGCGCGCAGCTGCCGGCGCACTACGGCGGCGAGCTGCTCGACGACAACGGAGACCCGAGGTGCAGTCTCATGGTAAATAGCACTCTTAGTACTGATACATACGCCTACTAGAGTATTATTGTATTTTGCGATTTAGAAAGGAGCATGGAAGCCTTGAAGTGCATTTTGATAAAGGTAGAAATAACAACATTCCGATAATAATAATAATTACGAGTTACGCAACTTCCCAAATGTAAGTAAAAATATTACACAAAACACTAAATCATTGGTTTACGTCCCGTCCCTATGACATCTGTCAATGTGACATTGGTCAATGTCATTCAGACGTATTAGAATAGCGCGCCATTAGTGGTCTGAGTGTTGAACTTAATTACGCCGGTACAATTATATTAATGTCTAAAAGTATAAAAATAGAATAAGGAAATACATTTTCCAGTAAAATTGAATAGTAAATGGCGTACTCGCTACTAGTATACCAACTTCTGTCATGCAAGTATGCTAGTTACTAGCATGTCTGCCTATGATTACGATTCTAAAATATACCTAGATAGAATAGTATAGAATGTTATGTTATTGATTGTAAATTACTTGAAAAAATGTACTAAGCATTAATTCATCCCACTATTCTGTCGTGATGAATTAAGGCTTAGTTAAACTTAAGTTATAAATGTTACGCAGGTAAAGCCAGGCGGCAAAGTTCCTAAAAGCTACTACTCAAAGAACGCCTCCAGCGAGCAGAGCAAGGAGTACAAGCGAGTCACCGTCAAGACTGGCGAGAAACATTCCATTGACTTACTCTGTATGGAGGAAGAAAGCGTTTTAAAGTACGTAATATTTATTAATAGAATAAATACACACCGTTTTTTAACTAATTTTAATTTAGTCAGACTGAAATTGTATTATTTAGTACTACTCATTTATGTAAGTAGTTAGTTTAAAAGTCCCCATTAATAATTACTATTTATATATCTTACTTCAACAAAGTACATTTTCGTATATTTATGTTTAATACTTGTATATTATCTTTATCTCTTTTGTTTTGTCTCACGCGTCATAATTTAAAAAAAAGCTATGTGAGATGTATGGTCTATTATCTAGGCTGGAATTGCCCCCTCTCTAACTCCCTACTTTGGGAACAGTTATGAATGTGATAATTTTCAGATGGGAATTCGGTGTGGACAGTCACGACATCAAGTTCGTGATAAAGCGCAGGGACGCGGAGGGCGCGGAGAGCGTGGTGCACGGCCCGCGCAAGGTGCCCGCCGGCGCCCCCGACCTCGGCTTCCTGCCCGTCTCCGGGCCCGCTACCTGTCAGTATATTACGTACAAAACTTACCGACACAGTTATTTAAAAAATTAAAAATAAAACACTATTCATTGACCAAAAACAAACTAAAAACGAATTTTACAACACATATTACTTAAATACGAAGAAAAAAATATTCTGATACCAAATACCTTTCGATTTTGATTTATTTAAAACTAGAATTATTATTATTTTTGATTTTACGCATATGATAATAGGTTGGAATTATCCTATGAAAAACTGCGTCAGTCTTAAGTTTTAATTGAATACAAGTATTTTAATTTTCGGTAATTAATTATCTATAATTTCATTTCCGCAATAAAAAATGTTATTTAAATATGATGTAGCTCAATTTATAGGTTAATTAATTATTATTTTTAATATGTCCTATCATTCTTGTATTATTTATAATTTATTTACTATGTTTTGTTTTTTTTTTTAGATTCTGTGATATTCGACAATAAGAGTGCGTATTTACGTAACAAGAAGGTGTTTTACGATGTACTGATCTCCGTCCCCGAGAAAGATCTCAACATGTCGGATGAACCCGAAGACGCCGTCGAGGCTACAGAGAGCAGCGAGCGCGAGGTAGAAAGCGCTCGCCTTTGAAATCTTACTGATATTATAAGTGCAAAAGTTTAGTTGAATGGATAGTTGTTAGAGTTTGTAGCCTAAAAGGCTCAACGGATATATTTATAGATATAGAGGATAGTAGTAGATAGTAGTCCAATTTTTTAATCAAAATCTGTCAAGTCATTTATGAGGTATCTGTGAAGGTATCGAGGGATTAAAGGTACCTTTCGTATTTTAGATTTTTTTAATTTCTGTTTTAAAATTTTTGACACCCAAGGAGGGGTTGCCCCTTTCTATTTCCTAGGGACGCCCAAGGCTATTAGATAACCTAAATACGACAATTTTTATGCAAATTGATTTGCGTTCAATCTCCCTTAAAAATGTAATCTTTACAACTTTTATTTGTATGTTCTGTTCTAAAAAATGATGATGTTTGTAATATTGATATCAGTTTTGTTTAATTAGATTTTTATTAATGTGTAAATGTATCTACATAAAGGGAAACAATGATATAGTATTTTTTAGCTATTTTACTCATATGATAAGATTTTACGGATGTACAAAGTAAGGTTTTTGTGTAGCTTAATTTTTTATTACAACGAAGTTTTTTATTAATTTTATTTTAATAAATTTAGTGCATTATATATTGTGCTCAATAAAATATGAGATATTTAGTAAGTAAATGAGTTATTGTTAATAATGTACGGCATAGTCTGTGATAAATTTATAGAAATATTCCCAAAATATATGTCTGCAGTCTGCATATATGATTCTTTTTGTATTATAGATGTTTTTAGTTTGGTAATGTAATTATTAGTTACAAACTCATGCTCTCTCTATGAAGAAACTTTAGTGTACATAAAACTGTGTATATTAAGTTATGCATGTATATTTCATTGCGTTTTTTATTTGCTTTTTAATTAAAAATGACAAAAAATAACTTATTTTTACTTAATACTCCATTAATTTTAAGATTTCGATAATTTTCCTAGTATGTTTGAAACATTAATTCTTTCGTTTTTATAGCGTTCTATAAAAATTTAACTTTGTATGATCTTATCCTAATGCAGTTTCTTATTGATTATTAAGGTTGGAAATATTGAATAAAACCAATAAATATATAATACATTTTTATTTAAAAAAATATACACATTGTAGAAACATTTGCTTAAGTATATATACATTCATATAGGCAAAATTGCCTTACAAACGCATACTGTACTGGAATATAAATATTGGTTTGAGACAGGCAAAATAATTAAATGGAAAAGTGTGTTAACACTCCGCAAACACATTATACATATTATATACTGATTTCAAGAGAGTTGATCAATAAAATGGATTGTTTATATTTTATAATATTTCCTCAAGTCTGCATACATGGAGTTCTTAAATTTAATTTCTTGTTTTATGATATTCAATCATCTTCTTCAAACAGCATTTGCAAAAGATCTCTTTTCGTGCACTGACTGCCTTCAAGTCGCTGCACTCCTTTCCACTTTATTATCGTCGGAATTACTAAAAGCTTTGTACGACTGTCTGTTCTGAAAGGACATGCTCTGTCTTTCCAGCTGAAATAATAAATAAATCGTTAGACCTTTACCAACTAAAACTAGATTAATGCACTCAATTCTGATTGTTTTTACCAAACAGTCTAACTGTTAATTAAGACTGTATAATTGATAATTAACATTATTCCTACACATTCACTATTTTAATTAAAACCAGGTCATAGCATATTAAAATTGTAAAAACAGGGCATATGTAGCATGCTTTATGTTATTTTATTTTTCTATCCTAATACCCTTCATCGGTGTTGATATTTTTATAAAAAGAAGTCAACAATTTTATAATCTTTGACAAAGCAGCCATAGCCTAAGTATATAAAATGCCCAAGTCAAGAAAATATAGCAATTTCATATGGAATCTATTACATTGATAATAAACTAGGTTACATATGCTTAGATGTTTGATAACTCAATCAACATTCCTACCATTGTCTTACTAACACAATGAAGAATATTAACGGTATTTTTTATTGTTTTTGAGATATTCTGTACAAAAGCCAATAAAATATTGAATTAAATACCTCTGATTAAATACCTTTGATAACAGTTACCTTAGTACTATTGTCACAAATGTCATTGGAAATTGTGCTTTGTAATAATGTAAATAGAGTATTGCAGTGAATTGACCAATGTTTTGCAAACAGTGTTAAGTTATCTAATCTGTCTGGATTATTTTACAAATAATGCTGTATAATCTGTCAAATAACATTGAATACTGATTCCATATATGACACTCTGAAGTAAAAAGTAAAATTAACATCATGAATGTTAAAAGCTTCCTAAAAAATTCTTTATTTTAGGTAATAATTGTGTACAAAATATATGTGCACATATAATTTAAGCTTGAATATAGATGTTACATATCAAAGGGTGGATTGGTGGAAAGGTGGATTAGTTTAATGCATGTCCATTCTACAAGATAATAGGGCAAACAATATACTCACTAATCTCTGTCACCAACATCAACATAAGCAAATACAACATTTCTCTTCAATTCATCTAGAAATGCTTTAATAACTGGTTCAGCTGAAAAATATTAACATGATTAAAACGGTACATGTGGTAAAAATACAAGAATCATGCATAAAGGCTGTCATAATTAAAAACTATGTAAAGATTTTAAGCATGTTTTGATACCCATTTGACAATAAATACACCAGCTCCTGCCATTTTCTTTCTTACTTCCCGAAAAAAGGAAATAAACATTAGGACCATTTTGAGGCAATTTATTGACGAAAGCATTAAATTCTTCGTGATTTTTCAAAAATTCCTCTTTCACTTTTGGTTTAGCCATCATTTCAAACAATGTCACAAAAATTCTTCTTCCAAATATCTTACATTGACATCAACATAAAAGAGTTTTCAAGTACTCAAAATGACCAAGGAGGTTTAAAATTAAACATCAACCATACAATTTGTTTATGAACTACGAAATGTCAAGGTTCATAACAGCAAGGTTTTTAAGTACATTAAAAATTGTTTCAGATTTTAGACAACAAATTACCTTCAACGCAGTCTGGACACCAACTTCTGCCTTCGGCGTTTTTGGATCCGCTAAAGTAGATCAGAACAGGTGGGCCTTTTGCATCAATAGAAGCGGTATAGTTGGAAAATTCTTCAAAGCCTTTAATATTAACTAAAGTAACCATTTTAACCAATTATCGTGTCCAGTATCTCAATACAACTTTTGTGAATGCAACGATATTTTATCAGAAAAAAATCACCGATAAATAATTTGACATGTAAATAGAAGTTGACGTTCACGTGTCATTGTCATGACATTTGAATTTTAATGCCACAGAGTAAAAGAAATCTACCTTAAATCGTGTTATTTATATGCAAAAAATATTCAGTTAGACTGGTTTCATTATTGAATTACTAAAGCTTTAAGAAACCGACATAAAATCGAGTTGCTGAAAACAAGTAATGCGTCGTCACATAAAAAAAAATACGCCTGACCCGACGGTAACACCACAGCCGATTTGATGCATTTTCTTCCGAACGAAGACTCAGAGGCACAAAGAAAATAATCAACTATATAAAATCTTACAATAAACTCTTGTAACATAATTTATTTCACGAATGAATACACAATGTCTATAAAACTATTTATTATAAAATAAAACAAAATCTATGTTAAAGTGTTAATAATAAATTATGAAGAATATACAAAAGTCTACGATTCTTCTTTTATATAAATTTACACATATTTAAAAATCACTTTAATTTAGCTATGACATGTATTATCCTATTTTCCTTAACAATTTCTAAGTGGGCATAGGTTTTTATTATATATTTTAAAGTCTATAATAAACTCCTCAGCTGAACCACTTAATGAACCAATAAAATGTTTAAAAGGCATTTACCAGCAAAATTTCATAAACTTTTTATAGTACTTAAAACCTACATTCTTTATTGCTACAAATTTTATACTGAAATTGTTTACAATTGCATTCCATTAAAGTTATTGTTATTTTTATTATAAACACAGTTTAAATTTGCCAGCATTTTAAAATGTTATTTCATTAATATTGGTTAGATTTAATTTAGTTTATAAATTAATTGTTTATGTTGTTGCAAATCCATAAAAATGAGCGCATAAGCAAAATGAAGTTCTTAAATTACTGATTGAAGATATATTTGCCTTTTTAATTTCATGTAGATCTGAATGTTATTCCTATGAACAATTATACAATTTGTCTAACTGCATTTGTAGATTTTGTGACGTCACAGCGGGTGTATTTGGTTCTTCTATATTTTTGGATTTTATTGGCGTATTTAAAAATATCATCTGTTCTTTCATTTTCATATAAATAGAGAGAGCTTTGTTGTCTTTGCTAGGTGATTGTAAACTAGACATATTTGGCATAGATTTGTGGAATACCTTTTTTCTTAAACACAAATTCTTTCTTGGTATCTTATATGTTGGTGATTTTGTAGGTGATTTGATGACTGAACAAGGTATTGCTACAATTTTGCTTTGAGCGTCTAATTTCTGATTATCTAATTTATCTTCACATGTGTTCTCTTTATCATGTTTTGTATTTTCAGAATCTATTTTCTTCTCATTGATGATTTTGTCAATATATTTTTGTTGTTCCATCATCGTTTTTAAATATTGTTCCATTATCTTGATTTTATTCTCATTTTGCTCTTTCAGTTTTAATAAATCGTTAAGTTGCATACAATTTAAATTGCTTTGATTAACAACATCGAAACATATTATTGAATTACACATAAGTTTTTCTGTATTATTATTATTATTGAAATGTAAATCTTCTTTCCTGCTATTTTCCTTTGGAGGTGTTGATAATATTGGAGAGACTTCTTCAATATCTTCTAATGTAGGACCCGCTTCTTTAAAAGGTTTTGCCTCAGTTTTACTTATTAAATCTTGTATTTTCTTTTCTGTTTGTAGAAAACTTGTGTCACAACTGGATGTTGAAGATATATTAGATAATGGTACATCTTGAATTCCTTCTAGAGGTTTTTGGAAGTTACTTTCTGTTTTTAATTTTCTTACATCATTCTCTTTGTTAAAAAGAGTTTTTCTCTTATACAATAAGTTGTTTTTATTTGTAGGAGTTTCTGGTATCCTATAAACACCACTGATGCGGACACCATTTTTATCTGAAATGTTTACGCAATTTAAAATTAATAAAGAATTAAATAAATGTTAGATGATAATGTAAATAATAAAATCATCGAGATCTGTCAGGTTTAGATGGTAAACTCTCACAAACATCCCTCCATACATAGATCTAAGCTTTCACATTTATAATATTAGAAAGATTGGCTGTAATATGCTTTACCAATCTATACTTTAAGCTATTTAATAATCATGTCGAACGAGCTTACGACACGACTCTGTCCCCGTGACATTAAAAAAAAACAAAAGCGGATAACCTAGGTGTTCTTCCAGTACACCTGTGCCAAATTTCATTGAGATCCCTTGAGCAGCTTAGGCTACAAACTATAACATCCATCCATCCATCTAAACTTTCGCATTTATAATATTAATTAAATGTAACAACTGCATACCTGGTACAATGCTCTTTTTCCCATTCCAAACTGGTTTAGAAACTTTTGGTGTTACTGGATTTCCAAAAGCCTGAAAAGTAATATTAATATCCAAGATCATTGAATAACTGTCTTTGGACTTTATTTATAGGTTTTCAATACAAAATATTATCAACAGATTTCTCACCATTGGTTTTGGTTGTAATTTCAATGTTTTTCTAACGGAGTTCTCTTTGCCAGTGGCAGGTTTTGGCTCAGTTTTTGGTAATTTAACAGAAGAGTTCCATCTACTTTTTCTATTTTGATTAACTGCTGGGGTAGATTTGACTGTAGTCTCATCTTTTAAATCTGGAAATTAAAAAAATCTATTAAAACAAGAATAAATGTGGATGTTTAGATGGATGGATGTTTGTTAGATTTTGTAGCCTAAACGGCTGAATGATCTCAATGAAATTTTGCATAGATGTAGAGTGTAGTCTTAAAGAACACAAAGGCTACTCAGTTTTTGTTTTAATAATTTTTTAATTTGACATGTACGGAGTGTAGAGCAAAAACTACTAATTAAATAAAAATTTAGCTAATGTTTTCTAATCATATGGAAATAGACCAGTAATCCTGAAAGAAAATATTTTATGAGTGTAAGTGAAAAATAAACAGTTTCACCTTAATTTGGTATTAGAAACATTTTTACATAACATATTGATCAGTATATACAAATATTTAAATGAGGATTTTAAAGTAAATACCAAAGGCATAGCGAACTGTTGCTCATAAAGAATGGAATGAAGCATGTTTTTATTCATAACTTATTTAAATTACATTTAATTTTATACAGCAAAAGCGCTTTAGATTTCTTAACATGAAACTTATTGAAAAGTGAATAGCAATTGTTTAGACTGATAAGAAATATTTATCTTTATAACTTTTATTTCATGGAATAGAGAAAATCTGAACATATTTACCCATTAAAACATTTCTCATTTCAGTATATGAAAGTGGTTTAAGATCTACTCTTCTGGGGGTTGGTTGTGCTGCCATTAGGGTCCTCATACAATCCTTTGATATTATGCCTAAAATCACACAATAAAGAATAGAATATACATTGAATCACTATTATTAATGTTTTTAATATTTAATATGATATTGTTAGTAATATTGTTTATACTAACCTTTCAGCTCTGGTAGCAATTCACGAATTGGCTTCGCCTTCGTTGATAATTGAATATTATGAGCCTTATTATCCATGATATATCTCGTTTCACTTTATAATATCCATGTAACTTTGCCAATTTTTTGATTCTCATTTAATAACTCTCTTAATACGAATCAAGTACCAAAGTTATTATTATTTACAGGCTCTATTTTATTCACTCAATTACACGGCTTGTCTGACGATCATAATCAAAATGATAGCCAATATAACTTAAAATCCTCCAGTTTAAGAATACTTCAAGAAAATTAGTTAAACTGCAGAGAAACCCAAACACAAAATACAAAACAAAACTTTTTCTTACACAGAGTTCACCAAACAATCAAAAATTTCAAATCGACAAATTCAGTTAACTGTCAATTATGTCAAAAGGAACCTGTAAAACTTTGATCAGTTTTACGCTAAAAGTTTTATGTTTTTGCAAGAAAATTTTCGGATACCAGCATTTATTGGACAAATCTTAACAATACCACAAAAAATACTTACGAAACATAGAGAGAAGCAACATACCTAATACTTGTATTATAAAATTATTTTTTTATAAATATTAAAAAATTGTATCACTCTCGTTTTATTTAATCTTTGAAATATGTTGAAAAGTCGTCAACCAACGTCAATGTCAAAACTTGACAACATAAATCTGCAAGACACTGTCACAAAGTCCTATTGGAATTCGTTTTGTTTTGCCAGTTTTGCCCGCACAGTAGTTGATAAGTACAAGTAATGATAACGGACTTATCATTATAAACTTTGATCTATAGATACCGCCTTGTTCTCGCTCCTTCCGTTACAGGATTGTATTGTAATCAAAATTTTCAAGAACTGTTCGTAAACATATAAATTTAACATTTAAAATAAGGAAGATTGTGCAAAATGGCTCTATCAAAACCAATCATGAATCTGGTAGCATCCTATTTACAAAACTTGTATCTACATCCTATTAAAACTAAAGCAATAACAAGGTATGTTGTTCGCTTAAATTTTTTACTACGATAAAATGTTATACCTAATACATTTTAAGCGATGAATACTTAGCAAGTTGAATGTTCAAAGTCCATATCTTGTGAAAAAAACTGATTTTCATATAATCAACTAATCAAAATTCTACATACCCACTCTTCTATAAAAAACTTAACTAATAATTACCTACAATTCTATTATTGAGTTATTAAAAGTACATTCAGTAGTATGTGCTAAAAGTTATTTACTTTAGAAGTTCTTAATAATAGATTTGTCTACATGTTAAGACAATAACTCAATACATATTTGTTTTGTTACAGTTGTGTGGTGGGATCAGCTGGGAGTGTTGCATCACAACTTGTGGCTGGTCAACCACTGAGATTAGATCCTGTATTGGCTTTTGGACTATATGGGTAAGATTGATAACTTTTTCATAATCAAAAACATTTTCTACAGTAAAAATGAACATTAAAATTTACAATTATTAGTAAATAATAAGTTTTATCAAAGTAAGTTAATTTAATTTTTCTAGATTATTATTTGGAGGCACAATACCACATTATTTCTATGAAATATTAGAAAGAATATTCCCTGAAGATGCTGTTGCTTTTCCGTTGGCCAAGAAATTATTATTTGAAAGAGCAATCTTTGCACCAATTATGCAAGCTTTTTCATTATACACATTATCAAGGTTTGAGGGAAAGAATCACAATGCTGCGTTGAAGCAGCTGTTTTCTCTGTATTATTCAGTTCTTGAAGCAAACTGGAAATGGCTTACTCTGTTCCAAATCATCAACTTGGCATTTATTCCACCAATGGTAAGTGGTAATTTCTTACTCATATCCTATGTCACATAATCCATTCATACTACTGTTCAATTTTAATACTTTCATGTTTATATGATTTTATTTGTAACTAATTGTTTATACATAACAATAAATGTAAATTTGTTTTGTTATTTCCTTAACATATACAGTATTGAGCTTCAACAATTAAATTTTCCTTGTAATATTTTATAATTACTATAGCCAAGCATGATAAGAAATTGTTTATTATTTTCAGTTGAGAGTGCTGTTTATGAATCTCGTTGGATTCGGTTGGGCAATGTTCATCGCAACCAAACGACGTGAACAGAGTCAAAAGAAGAACTCTGGCAACTAAGACATTTTAGACTTCAAGTTTTTATGAAAAAAACTTATGGTATGGAGTGTTAATGATTGGGATGGAAGGTGGCGGTTATTTTTACGTGTTTAATGCAGGGAAAGATATATTAGGATTTTATAATTTCTGTATCCTTGAGTTATTAAGATTGTATTGTTAAAAGATACATTTCAATTTAATTGAAGAGGCTGTGAAGCAAAAAATCATTCAAAGTTCAACCTTATCTGATTCATCTAGTTCTTTGTATTAAACAGTACATTAATATAACATAATTCTGCAGTAATGTAGAAGTATTCAAGTGATTATAGGTTATGTATAAGTGTAACATGTTTGCAATCCTAATATATTTAATATTTGATGCATTTTTTGAAAGAAATAATTGTTAGTATATTTTAAAAGGAATTGTAACATTCCATGATTTTATTTTGATACAACTTTAATTATTACCTGATATTTAATAAAATATTTTTACATATGTTTATTTTATTTTCTATTGTACATCCACTTTAAGAAAACCAGAGAAAATATATAAAAAATTGCATTGATTGCAACAGATCATGAACATTTGAGGTGCAAGGAAAATATTTCAAGTCAAAGATCTTCTAAAGTTATTTGAGATGCTACCTTAACAATACAGAAAGGATAGGAAAAATCAATAGGCAAGATAATATCAATAAAATAACTAAATCATATAAGGTAATTTTATTTTGACCAAGAGTTTTTTATGGTGAACATGGAATTCATCTAATTATACTATTTGTCTTAAAATGCATGACTTCTATGAACTGAACACAAAACTAATCAATGTCTACTTTGACTGTAATTATTGTAACTTATTAAATATATTGAGATTTTTTGTCTACTTTTTTCACATCCATGTTATTGCTTACCATAAATATTTTAAAGTGAAATTCCATATTTACATATACTTTATGAATACAGTTCAGTACAGTGTAGTACATAAATAATTCACAAAAATAAAAAAAAATGCATTTAAAACAATTATGAAAACAATGCGGTGGTTAGTAAATTAAATAAATTAGACTAGATTGGAAAAAATATGTAAAAAGACTAGATTTCCGTCTGGAAAATTAAATTGCGACTTAATTTCTACTAAAATATAAACACAAAATGGTTACAATTTTTAAATATAAATAAGCTATAAATGACTACATTGAATTGTATAATTATAAATAATCGGTTTTCAATAAATATATTGCACTATAATCTAAAACATGTTGAATTAAATTCTAAGTTGTTACGACTAGAGTATTTTTGGTACGCTTAATGTCTATATGAGTTTCGTTTGAATAAAATTATCAACAAAATATTATAACGAAATAAGAGTGTAAAAAGAGATCAAAACAATATTTTCTATGATTACGAGTATAGCATGGCATTTTTTAATTGTAATCAAATTATTTTAGAGTAAATAATCTTTGGCCAGTTTGCTGATATTTTTTTTAATCTTAAATATAAACTGGAATGCTTTTATAATAAATGTTTAAAGCATTAGCTATTTATAAATAACGAATATTCAAACTCCCATATGTATAACTAAGTCGAAAATCGTTAAAAATGTATAATTTTAATTAAATATCTTTTATATCGAATTTCATTGCATTAAATTCATAGTTTTTCATACGCATTTTCATTACGCAGATGTTTTTGACTATTTAATCAATATTAATTTGATTATATTTGTCCTATATTTCTTGATTTTATATTCGAGATTGTTTTTAATCAGTTATAATAAAGCATATAGCATAACCAACAGCTTATTCTTGAGAAAACAATGGCCACCATTAATTACGTCATATTACGGTCAGGAGAGGTTGGGGGACACTATTTTCAACATTAAATTGTATGTTTTACTATAAAACATACTCGAAACTATTATGGAGATATTCCTTAAAATAGCGTATTTAACTAAAAAGACTAAAGCCGTTATAAAACGGAATGTCAGATATTTTGGCGCCAAAAATTACCGTTCCGGTTTTCGGTATATATTCATAAACACATAGGGTTGTCAACATAAAAATAGCAACGTAATTTATGGTTGGCCCCAAACCAGTTTTGTCATTGTCGATGGTTAGCTGTCTCAATCGTGTTCAGGTCTCGGGGAGCGAGTCCAGCTCCTCTGCGAGGATCTGCTGCTGTAGTCGCTCTGTGTGCTCGGCGAGGACGGTGTTGGTCTTCTGTACGGTATCGGACGTTTCCTTGCGCTGATCAAATTGTTAATTTGTTAGCGGACATGCGAAAGTTAGTTGTGTTAAAATGAACAAAATCAAATTTTAACATGCAATTTTAATTTGAATGTGAAATGGTAACAGGCATAATTATTTCTCGATATTTTATATAGCTATTTGAATAGAGTTATCGCGTTTTTTACATCAATACTTAAATAGTTTATCTCTTTCATAGTATAAGATCACCTAATACTATTTACTTGATTATGTAAACTAATATCGAGAAAGTATCATACTTTGTATTAAAATATGCAAATATGGCTTACCTCCTTAACTTGTAGTGATAATGCCAAACTAGCTTTATAGAAAATTGAAAAAAAAAGTTATTTCTTTTAAGTGTATTCTACAACTTCTCTATACAAATGCATCACATTACCAATCTAGCATGCAAAAAATAAATAAAAAAAAAAGACAAACATAATTTCACAGTAAACTTTAATGTAAAAGAAACAAATCAGATTAATAATATAGTAACAAACACTTGAAAATAAATGTCCATTGAAATATAGCAACACTGTGTACATCTGTCAGTTTGAAGTAATTTCCTTAACGATTAAAATTCAAACATTGGATTCCATTAGTTCACCTTCTTCTTCGATATTTGTATCTGTTCGGTTCGTATGTAAGATCTATTATGGGTGCGCTACGGAGGAAAACATATTACATTAATAAATTACAAAAACTGGCCGAGAGTTAGTGTAACACATTATGATGGTTCTGATCACTTTAATTAACAAGTTTAGTAGCACACCCCTGTTAGTAACGGATATCGCATGTTACAATAATTCCAAAATGGAGGTGATTTAATGTATGAAAATTTCAATGAATATTTGAAGGGAACGTCAAAGAAATTTTGCTTTAATTATGACAATTATCCAATTTGTATTTAAATACATTTTAACATAGATACAATATCCAAAAAATTTTAACTAAACTACTAGCAAAATTATACAATTCAGGATAAAAAAAATGGCAAAATAATGAGCATATATACCACAGGTTAAGTAAATGCAAATATAAACACCATGTGAAATATTCAGCAATATATTAAAACATAAGTCTTATATAGTGAACAATCCATACAATACATATAATAACTTAAAAACTATTCTATCCAGTCACTTCACTAATCGGAGCTACTGCTCGTGTCTTCAGAACTCGTGCTATATTTTCGTGACTTTTTTCTACAAACAAAATGAAAAAAAAAATCGATAAAACAAAAAAAAACATACTATGAGGTGATTTAAAAATGGTACGCTTGTTGCAAAGAAATAAATAAAGCTAAAATAAAAACTAAATTAGCATAAGAAGCGACACACGCAAAATGTTAAAGTACTACAAAACCACTTGAGGCAATAATGATAAAATGTAATTATTACAGAAAAATAAATAAAATTATCATTATTATTTCAACACAACCCCCATACCCTATACAGTGCTTTAAGTTTTGATATGATTTATGAATTTTTGGTAAATTTTGAATAAAAATGTCTAATAATTTTATACGACATAGATAGTAAACTTTGTTAAACGGTTAAGTAAATAAAAATATGACAGGTAACCTCAAAATACTTGATCATATTTACATAGTAAATCTATTTAAAATCAAAAAAGAA